AAAAAAAAAAAAGAAACTTCCCCCATTTTAGAAGTAAGTGAAGGACAACAAATTACTTTCAGTGCAGAGTTTAAGTGGTGGGAACAGAGAATAATACAACACGGAACTGAAAGAAAAAATGAAAGATCCACAGATCAGAGACAAAGTTCTGATATTAAACAGTAAAGGTCTAACACTACCAAAGAACACCTATAAAACATAGAAGGAACGGAAAGCCCCTCTGGCTCCCAAGCCAGGATGGGGGAGGGCCAAGGGCCTCAGCCACGCCCCCCTGCCATCCACATCCAGCCCAGTGATGACCACCAGGCCACCACAGGATGTGCCCCAGGCTCTCAAGTGGGAGTGATGGGGGACCGAGGGCCTCAGCCATGCCCCCTCTGACATCTGCATCCATCCCAGGAATGACCATTAGGCCACTGCTGGAAGCAACTTGGACTCCTGAGCTGGAGTAGTGGGGGGCTGATGGCCTCAGTCATACCCCCTGATATCTGCATCAAGCCCAGTGACGACCACTGAGCTGCCAGTGGAATCACACCAGTACCCCTAGCCGGGGAAGTGGGGGGCCAAGGGCCTCAGCCACGTCCCCCTGACATCTGCATCCAGCCCAGTGATGACCACCGGGTTGCCACTGGAAGTGACCTGGGCTCCTGAGCTGGGGTGGTTGAGGGCTGAAGACCTTAGCCACACACCCCTGTCATCCACATCCTGTCCAGCAATGAACACCAGGCTGCTGTTGGAAGTGCCCTGGGCTCCCAAGCTGGAGTGGTGGGGGCCAAAGGTCTCAGCCATGCCACTCCAACATCTGCAACCATACCAATGATGACCATCAAGCCACTGCAAGAAGCTCCCTGGGCTCCTGGGTTGGGAGGCACTGAGGGCCTCAGCCACACACCCCCAAAGTCCACATCCAGCCAAGCCATGACTGAGCTGCTGCTGGAAGCCCCCTGGGCTCCCCTGCTGGAATGAAGGGGGTGCCATAAGCCTCGATCAGGTCCCCCCTTTCTCTTTCTTCCATCCTACCCCCTCTCCCTTCTCCTCTCCCCCTACCCCCAACTGCTCCACAACATCTTAGAATGTAAAAATTAATAATAATACTAATAAAAATAAATTAATTATTTTAAAAATTTTTAAAAAAGAGAAAATGAAATAAAATTTTGCCTCATTTGCTTCATTCTTGAGTATTTTTAAAAGGTAAATATTTAGCATCTATATTAATGAAAACTTTGAATCACTGGTTAAAAAAACTTGTCAAGGTTTAATCATAAAATTAATAGGTTTCAGAATGTTTATAATTTGGTATAATAATTCAAAGAAAATAACAAAATAAGCAATTCTAAGCACTGGTCTTGAACACAAAAGCAAGAAAGTATAGTCTATAACTCAGAATTTTCTGTTGTTAATTTCAATTATGATTTTCAAATAATGGTTTCTAATTTAAAAATTTTTAGTCTGATAACTTAAAGGTGTATACTCTCATGCTAAACAGGTTTTGGAAGTTTGATATCTTGTAACCACAAAAATTCCTTGAATTATTTAAGTCAAATGAACAGATATGATGTCAGGGGAAGAGGAGGGGGTGGAGAGGAATGGGTAAAGGGGCATGAAAATCAACTACAAAGTATATTGAGAAGTAAAATTTAAAAAATACATTAAAAAATAAAAATGACTTATATAAAAAAGGTTTGATATACTTTTTATAAGTGATACTCAAATTATAGGGAGGACTGCTAAATAGCTATTACATACACAAAAAACTCAAACCTGACAATATCAATTGCTACTGAAATGTGGAGCAACTAGAAGTCTCATACATAGCTGGTAGGAATGCAAAAAATTCAGGAACTTTGGTAAACTGTCAGGAATGGTAAATGTTAAACTTTACTGTGCAACGTAGCAATCTTATTACTAGGTAATTACCCAAGAGAAATAAAACCCATGTTCACATAAAAACCTGTATGGAAATGTTTATAGCAGCTTTCTTCATAAAGGCCCCACTACAAATGTTCTTCAGCTGGTGACTGGATAAACATACCATGATATATTCATACAGTGAACTATTACTTAGCAATAAAAAAGAGCAAACTGGTACATGAAACAACATGGATAAATCTTACATACATTTTGCTAAGTGAAAGAAGCTAGATTCAAAAAGCTAAGCACTATATGATTCTGTTTATAAGAAATTCTGGAAAAGGCAAAAGTATAGTGACAGAAGATAGACCAGTGATTGCCAGAGGATGGGGTGGGAGAAGGAATTAATTAAAAGGGGGCCCAAGGGAATATTTTAGGATGATAAAAATGTTTTATGCATTGATTATCGTGGCAGTTACATGACTATATACATTTGTCAAACCTCACAAAAAGGATGAATTTTTTTTTTTTTTTAATATAAAGATGACCAGTAAGGGGATCTTAACCCTTGACTTGGTGTTAGCACCATGCTCTCCCAAGTGAGCCAACCGGCAATCCCTATACAGGGATCTGAACCTGTGGCCTTGGTGTTATTAGCACCACACTCTCCCAAGTGAGCCACAGGCTGGCCCCTACAAAAAGGATAAATTTTATGGTATGTAAATTATACTTCAAAAAACTGGATTTTAAAAAATTATGGGAACATAGGGTACCCACTGGGTGGAATCTCACACAGTTTGAAACCCCACTCTGATGGTTTTGGTAAGCTGCTCTTCCTTCTCTCTACTGAAAATTACCCAAGTGAGAGAGGAAAATTACTAGGGAGAGAAGAACTTTAGGGATTCATAAAGTTTTTTTTTTTTTTTTTTTTTTTAATTTATTATTTATTCATTCATTCATTCATTCATTCATTCATTCATTCATTCATTTATTTATTTATTTATTAATTAGGAGCAACTAGAAGTCTCATACATAGCTGGTAGGAATGCAAAAAATTCAGGAACTTTGGTAAACTGTCAGGAATGGTAAATGTTAAACTTTACTGTGCAACGTAGCAATCTTATTACTAGGTAATTACCCAAGAGAAATAAAACCCATGTTCACATAAAAACCTGTATGGAAATGTTTATAGCAGCTTTCTTCATAAAGGCCCCACTACAAATGTTCTTCAGCTGGTGACTGGATAAACATACCATGATATATTCATACAGTGAACTATTACTTAGCAATAAAGTTTTTTTAAAAATTTATTTTTTTCACTGGCATGTTTATGGGGTACAATTTGTTGTTTCAATACATGTATATATTGTATAATGATCTAATCGTAATAGTTACCGTATCTATCACCTCAACATTTATCATTTCTTTGTGGTTATGACATTCAAGATCCTCTTTTCTGGCTATCTTGAAATATACAATATTATTAGCTATTGTCACCCTAAAGGCACCAGAACTTATTCTTCTATCTATAATTTTATAACTTTGTATCAGCCTTCCAAACTTTCCCCAGTCCTCCTTTGCACACTTCCTTTTCCCTGCCTCTGGTAACCATTATTCTACTCTCTATTTCTCTTTTTTCCCTCTCTTTTTAATATATTTTTCTTAACTGACCCATGATAATTATATACATTTAAGAAGCACAATATGATATTTGGATATATTCATACTGTGTGTAGTGATCATATCAGGGTGCTTCATATATACATCACCTCAAACATTTGTCACTTCTTTGTGTTAGAGACATTCAACATCATCTTGACTAGCTATTCAAAGATATACAGCACTTTATTAACTAGAGTCTCCCTGTATTACTATAGAACAATAAATCCCATTCTTCCTCTCTGTACTATTTTGTATCCGCCTCCCCTCCCCCCCTTCTATTTTACTGTCTACTTCCATGAGAATTCATAAAAAACTGAAGGTAGAAAACTCTAGAATTGTACATAGAAAACATACATAAGATTAATTTGGAATGACTATGATTTATAAAGATGCATTGATTCCATAAAAGGATTTACTGTTAAAATAGTAAGCTTTCTTATACTTTTATCATAGTCTTCATTTATAAAAATGAACAAAAGCTTTTTGGGAACACAACTGTTATAACAAAAAGTGCACAAACCAATAACATCCTATCTGCAAAGGTGCTTCTGAATTTCTGTAGAGATGGATGGGCCAACAGAGAAACAGTTTGGATGCAAATAAAGCAAATAAAGATTCTGTACTTGTTTTCCATTGAAAAAATGAATTTCATCACTTAAAACCTGTTGCTTTCCTAAAAATTCAGCAAGGCATTGATTGTTTCAGGAATCAAAACAAAAAAGAGGAAGAAGAAACATGGCAAGAGAAATGAAGCCAGCTGCAAGCAAAGTTTAACAGTAACAGTACCATTGCTTTTGCCACCATTTTCTTTAAAAAGATGTTAGATATTGTACAAACACATCCAAACACACTAATTAAATAGCAGAGGTCAAAAGAATGTTGCTCTCAATGTTTGCAGAGAAGGAAATTTAAAAAACAAAATTCACCTGATAACATCTTGAACAAGTCAGCCAGTTGATCGTTCCCCACAAACGCCAATATACATCCCTCCAAGATTTTAATTCTTCAAAAAGACTGTTCAAATACTCATGAACATCCCAAGTTTTATCTCTGGGGAAAGAGTTGTTATATTATTTTTCAAGCAAGCAATATAGACAATGTGCTTTAAACAGATGTTTTTAAATTTGTGGTTTATTCCCAAGAATGTTCCTCAAATGATGGATATGGCATGAAAGGTAGATAAAATTTCATTTGGGAGTTTATTCTGTGGATAACAGAAAGACATATGAAATGTTGAATGCTAAATTATTTTGCCAAGCTAGATAAAGGATTATAAATTAAATATAGTTTGAGTATGCCAACACTTGGAACTTAGGCATGTATTGTTAAATGGAATCTTTATTCTAACTGTTTATATGTTGTAAGACAAGTTGTTATTAATTATTGGTGATTTTAAACATTTCATTAATGTATTAGTTTCTTACATTATTTTCAAACAGAATTTTCTAATAATTGAGTAGTATAGAATATACCATCAGGTTGTAGTAATACACATTTTTAGATTAAATAATACACAGTTTAAAAATAGCAAAGGCTTAAGCCATATTTGCTATGGTCACGTGTAACTCAAGTTCCTTTTCTTTTTAAGTTACTATTTTAATTTTTTCTAACTTTTTGCTATTTTTGTGCTTAATTCAACAAATAACAAAAATGCCATCATTTTATTACAAATTACATAGGCACATCTGTCTTAAAAGTTATTTAAAGACAATTTTTAAAATGTGTGCATCTATACTGGCCAGCCACCAAAAAAAAGGATAAAATGTGTGCACTGATTGTTGACTTATAAGAAAATATTTTGAATAAAACAACAAAAATCAGTGTTGAAGTTAACATCAATTACTTTTTTCACATACTACTATTAATAGCTGTTATTGTCAGGAAGGAAGTAATTTTCAAAAAGTGAATCAAATCTCAAAGACAAAAAAAGTATAAAATTCCAGATGCTTAAAACAACCAATGAAGATTCCCAGATTATTGTACTGAGAGGAAAATAAATCATTTTAAAGTTGATTGTGTTATTATTACTAGAATAAAATTAAGTGTTGCCCTGTATTTGTTTTAATGTTTAAAATATGAAATATAACATTGTAGGTTTTTTCTTTAATATAGAAAAAAGAACAAGTAAAAAAGAAAATTAAAACCGTCCATAATACTATCACTGAAAATTAACATTTAGTGAATGTGTGTCTAGTTTTGTTTTATATCCTATTTTTTTCACTTAATTTACCACTAACAACTTTCTATATAAGTATGCATTCTTTTACATTATTCTTAAAGGCTGCACATTAAGAACTGATTAGATGTGTTTTATATAGATATACTATTATATGAACATATATTAGTTTGTTTAATCATTTGCGTATTTACTTTTTTTTTGGCTACTTAGTATAAATGTCTTTGTTAAATGCTTTCACAAATTCAACATTATCTCTTTGGATAAATTCCTAGTAGTAGAATGTTGCCAAAGAATACAAACATTTTGAAGTTTGTTTTCCTGTGACATACCAATTTACAATACTCTTCCCCCAACTCAGAATGAGAACTTGTTTTGAACATAAAGAGGAATATGTATTATGTATTAGTGAAATATGTATTAATGGAATACTAACAAAGTATGAAGAATAAATAGATTATGAAAAATCCCATTGTAAAGACAATTTTCCTCACCAAAATTCAACTGAAAGTAATTTGATTCTCTTATAAAATTCAATATAACATTTATATAGAAAACTAAAATCTGTTAGTGAAAATAAATTTAATGGCAGTGACCAGAATATTTTTCAAGATTAATATTCAATTATTTTTATCATTTTAAAATTTAAAGACATTATGAAATTTTACCCAGTAAATAAAATGTAGCTTTTACAACAACTTTGTTTTGAAAGTACCATCTTTCTAAATCAAAATTGGATCAAAGATGTAGAAAAGATGTTATCCTATGCTTATAAAAGTAATTGTGCTTTTATAAACACACTAGAAATTCACATTAAAAAGCTATATTTTATCTTCACTACACCTTATGTGTATATAGATAATATTTCCATGTCGATCTACATTAATTTTTCCAGGAATGCAAGGAATTCTTCTTTCTGTTTCTTTTGTTAAAAGTTTCTTACACAAACAGCATCTGTAACACAAGGATGATACAAAAAACATCGAAAAGAAATTTAAAATGTAGTCATTAAAAAATATAGCTGCATCATACAGCACATCAAAGGAAAAACACATTACCTTACCTATATAATGTTGCTGCATTACTCCGAGAATCTGGATTCAAGTACTCAGGATCAAACAGTCTCTCAATCTTCTTACAAAAAAGTTTACTGTTAACAACAAATGACCAACACATTAATTTTCTATATTTACTAAAGTTACTTTATAGTGATGAAAATAAACACTGTACATGTGTAAAATAAGATTAATAAATCCTTAGATTCTCTTTAGGAGTTTATAATACATTTTTGGATCTTACTCTACATGATAGCAGCATTCCACACATTTGGTCACTTAATCATTTCCTCCTTTTGAAACCTTTCCTTTTACCTTTCCTTCTACTTCACTGGCTCTTCGTTCTCATGCCTTTCACTGGCTATTTCTCCTCTGTTGATCCTCTAAATATTGGGAAGCCTTTATCTATACTCTCTTGTTAACAATTGGAAAATGAAATAAGAATAGCATTTACAATAGCACCAATAAATGCCTAGAAATAAATTTAATAAAATAAAAAAGAAAAATATCTCTACAGTGAAAACTATAAGACATTGCTGAAATTAATTTTAAAAGACCCAAATAAATGGCAGGTTATAGTGTGTTCAGGGACCAAAGACTCAATATTATTAAGATGTTAAATCTTCCTAAATTGATCTACAGATTCAATACTAACCCCAAATTCCAGTAGGTTTGTGTCTGTGTAAGAAAGAAAAAATGGAACAGCTGATTATAAAATCTATACAGAAATGTAAAAGACCTAAAATGGCCAAGACAGAAATCTTGAAGAAAGGCAAAGCTGGAGAATTTAGATTACTAGATAAAAAAGTTATTAGGCTACTGTAATTAAGACAGTGTGCTGCTGATACAAAGACAGACAAATCCACAGAACAAAATGAAGAACTCAGAAACAGACCTCACCTATAGTCACCCAATTTATAGTAAAGGTGCCACTGCAATTCAGGATGGTCTTTTCAATATATGATGCTGTATCAATTAGATATCTATTTGGGAAAAAAATGGACCTTGAGCCCTACCCGATACCACACAAAAAAATTAATTCAAAATGAATAATGAAAAAACATAGGAGAGTATCTTCACCACCTTCAGGTAGGCAAAGATTTCTTGAACAGGACACAAAAAACACTAACTATGGTCTCTTGCTAGGGAATCTCATCCAGTTCGATGGTTTCAAACCTTGTCTACTCTTAAAGTTCTATTTAAAGCCCTGACCTCTGACCTAAACTCTAGACTATCTCTGCTACAACTTATATCTAGAGTAAAGTATATCCTCCTTGCTATGACCTAAACAGCCCCTAGTGATATGACTACTGCTGACTTCATCTCATACCACTCTTTCTCTTTATACTAAGGCCTGTCAATAATTTTTAACATAATATTCACTACTACCATATGCTCATATGTTCATTACACAAAATAATTACTCATTTCTATCTTAAGTCATTGGCTCTGGTTAAATTTTACTTCATTTAAAATAAAATAGAAATATATTTCTAAATATATTCTACAATATTTCACTAAAATGAAATAGAAATATATTTCTTTTAATAGGAATATTAGGTTTAAAATTAAATTTTAAAAATTACCTCCTAAATTTATCTTTTTTGTCCTTTAACTCATCAACTTCATTGTGTGTGAACAAATCAGCTATACGTGTAAGAAGATTTGCATTAATACAGTTCATGTTGCATGGGGTAGCTACTATGGCATTCATATTTTTGTGGCAATACTGAATACATTGTTCAACCTACGAAACACAGAACAGAAAATGAAAGTTGAAAATAGTCGCATGAAAAGTAATGTCATAGCAATACCTTTCAAACATAAAATTTATTAAAAGCCTAATCTGTATTGCTAGGCACTAACTGGGTTTTGCTTATTTGGGTTACTCTACTGTTCCGAAGTGGTCCAGCAGGTCAAATTTGTAAAGACATATCTACATACCGAGAAAAATTATTTTCAGCCTTCTCTATTTCAAACAAAAATGTGTTTATTATGCCTGCGGCAAGTATAAATCTTAGTCTATAAATTACTCAAGTGTGCAAGATATGTGACTTCCTATAATTAAACTTATTTATAATTTTGAGCCTCCATTTCTCTGGATGGCAGAATCGAAATTTCAGTCAATTCAGGGTTTTCTCTGTTGTGTTTAGTTTGCTCTCTGACTTTCTTCCCCTCCCTCCAAGCTCAGGTATATTTATTTACTTTAAAAGTAAAGAGAGGCTAATATGTATTCTTCCAATTTTTTCGCTTATGGCATAAAAATTATCCTTTGGGGCTTAGATATCAAAACTCAAAAGTTAAGGACTCTTTTAGACTCTGCCTTTTTTCTGTAACCCTTCTCTGAAGCAGTTGGCTAAATGGGGAGGGGTTAAGGAGTAGAAAGAATACAGGGAACTAGTAAAACTCTAAAACAATCAAGTAAAGAAACTTCATATCTGCTAACACATAAAATTTATATGGAAATGCAAAAGAAAATTCTGCCCTGTACAGTTTTACCAGGAATAAAAACAAATATTTATTTAAATATTAACCATAAAATATCAATCACAAAAACATATAAAATCATTTCAATAATAAAGAAATTTATTAAATAAAAAAAGAAGAAAAACAAATACATTTAATGTTAGAGCTATGTTTCATTAGCTACTCTTAAGCAACAGACATGAACTTCCGTGATACACATACAAAATTATATTAATAGTTGGACACTTGCTCTTTATTCACTAAACTATAAATGAAAGACACAAATAAGGAAAATATGGTTAAAGAAATTACTTAAATAGCAAAACAAATATATTCCAATTTTCATTTAATTTGGATGTAGGGCAAAACCCCTTTTGGGGTAAAGTTAATTGTGTTTAATTTCATCAAATACGATAGTGAACTATTCCTTGAGGATTGTTTGCTTTATAGGCATAACACACAAATGATACATATTAGTCTTTAAAACCCCTTCCCAACAAAACAAAGTACCTTCAAACAGGAGCAGTTTATTCTAATAAAATCACACTACTGAATTAACTATTTTAGTAAGATGTCTTAGAATTTTCTAGACATTTGAAGGAAAAAAAAGCATAAGTAAATAGAAGATCTTGGGGTTTTAAATTAATACTTACTAATGAATCCATTTTCAAAAACTCAGAAGAAATAAGAATTGAAATGACATTTCCTGGCTCTTAAAAAAAAAAAGAGAAAAAAATTAAATTTTCCTTTTGACTTATACTTCAAACTCCTCAGAACAGGCTCCTTTTTACCTTAAAAGAGGATGTTACTTTAATAAGAACAATTCAATATAACCCTACTATATCATATGGCTTAGACACAAAAGAAAGAACAATCAATGTTAAAACTTAGAGTATAGAGAAAACACACAGTTAAGTTTGCCCTGGAGTTAAATTCATATCAAATAAAAAGACTCCAGCTAAACACATGATATATGCAAAAGTCACAGTGAGAAAATTTTTAGAAATTATTAATGAGAATACTTATTAGTGAAGTTATTTCAGAAGTAGATCAATGCTTGTTATGAACAAATATTTAATTTAAAAAGATTCCGAGGGTAGCAAAAATTTTACTACTGCAAAACTGCCAAAGTCACTTCCTAAAGGCATACTGAATGAGCCTTCGGGCATGCAGAGATAGGAAAGGGGGATGCCACCAGACACTACAGTTTTAGTAAACCTGTCATCTCCCATGAGGTATATTTAAAAAAAAGAAACAAAAACAAAAAACAAAAACAAACGGATTTCCCACCACTACAGTACTAAGACAATCCTTCTAAATCTTTAGTAATACTAGAAATCCTTCTCTCACTAAACAGCCAATGATTAAAATAAGTAATCCCAATCTTTCTCTAAATAAAAATTCTAGATTGAAGGTTCTCAAATAGAAATGGTAAAGGGAGGAAGAAGCTAGTGAAATAGCTCCTTGGAAAATTGTAATATACACCATCCCACGTAAGAACCAGTGGCTGGAGTATTAGAGATTTAATTAAGCATTTTGGTAGTTTTCCTGCTTAGAATAAATATTGCTTCTGTAAGGTTTACATTTATAGCCACTAATTTAAGATCAATGATAAGAGAATGACTAGTTTTGCTCCATTTTTTTTTACTTTCACTACACACATAAATATGCCATATCAGAAAATATTTTTTTCTCTCCACATATTTTGATATTTATTCACACATATATAACATAGCTGGGTAGTCTAAAATCTCTGGACTCAGGCTGAACATTTTGACTTAGCAATCTTATAATTTTTATTTAAGGACCACTAGAAACTTTTCCCATTAATTTTGTCACTAGAAAATAATAAATTATAAACCTCTTCAGAAAACTTTTATACTGTCAGTATAGCTTTATTTACTAATAGCGTTTAGAAATATTTTGATACTGCTGTAAACAGCAATTCTAGTGCACAGAAAGACTACAAAGTATGAAGTAATCACAAGTATGAGTTCCCATACAAGTCTATGCCCACCGAAAGACTCCTTAGTAATTATTCTTGCTATCACATAGAACACTAGTTCTCAAACTTTTAGTCTCAGAACACTTTATAATCTTAAAAACTGAGAATCCTAAAAAGCTTCTGTTTATGTGAGTTATATATATATTGGTATTTACCAGATTAGAAACTAAAACAGAGAAATTCAGCAAACATTAATTCATTTAAAGAGAATAATAAACCTATTACATGCTAATATATTTTTATGAAAATGAACTATATTTTCCAAAACAAAAAAAATTAGTGAGAACGGCAGCACTGTTTGACATTTTTGCATTCAATTTGTGGGTATCCTTCTTTGATGTTACACCAAAACTCGAGAAATGGTAGTTTCTTAAAGGTTAGTTGCAATGGGATCTGAAATCAATGAACTTTCCCTCCTCAGTTAACATCAAAATCCACTGATTTATCTTGCACTTTGAAGGGATCTTTAACCCATGCGTGATTTCTTTAAACATCGTGCATTGATCATTTGGAAAATATTGGTTCACCGAGTTATGCAGATCTTCCAATTGAACATTTCACTGTACAATATATTTTAAAAATTACATTCATTAATATGACCACCAATCGCAGCATTGATCATTTGGAAAATATTGGTTCACCGAGTTATGCAGATCTTCCAATTGAACATTTCATTGTACAATATATTTTAAAAATTACATTCATTAATATGACCACCAATCGCATTGGAAAAGTCTTCAAGTACTGGGATGCTGCCAACCACACGAAAGCAGGTAAGTTTTCTGAAACTCCTATTCTTATTTGAAAGCTCAAATTTTGTCAAAGACAAGTGACCAGCTCATTTTCAAGAAAATGTCTGCCAAATATCTAAGTCTGAATAACCATAATTTCTCTGTCAGTCATTCTCTCAAGTAAGAATGGTTTTCTGTTTTTAAAAGAGCAGCTAGTTTAGCTCACAATCAAACAATCACATAAGTGCTTTTCTTCAAGAAAGCTATCGTACATTGGTGTGCGGCAGAAGTACACTTCCCATTTCATCACACAGAGTATTAAACACACAGAAGTATCCTCAAGGTTGGAGATTTAATAAAGTAAGTAATTTTTACTGCTTCATCAAGAACATTCTTAACTAAAACTAGACTTTTTCTTTTTTTTTTCCTTTCTAGCTATGAGTGCATGGTGTTGAAGAATACAGTGACAACTAGGACAGTTTGATGCCCCTGCCTTGATTTGGGCTAAGGATCCAACAATTTTACCAACCATTGCTTTTGCACCATCTGAGCAAATGTCCACACAGTGAAAATGACACATAATATCTTGGTATTATTATTCAAACTGTTTTGACCTCATTGACCCTCTAGAAAGGTTTCCATGACCCCAGTGGTACATATACAATATACGATCCGTTGCCGGACACGGAAAAAGACAAAAGACAAAAAAAATAAATAAATAAATAAAGTTTATAAAAATAATACCAATCCACAAAGAAAAATTAAATAATAAGCGATCCGTTGCCAGACACGGAAAAAGACAAAAGACAAAATAAATAAATAAATAAATAAAGTTTATAAAAATAATACCAATCCACAAAGAAAAATTAAATAATATATTCCAGTTCTTGTAAGGAACATTAAACAGCACTTTTACATGGTTATGAGCGTGGGAGGGAGATAATGATTAAATATTAAAATTTTCATACTTTAAAAAAAGGAAAAACAGCTAAAACTATTCATCAAAAATCAAATTAAAATCAGCATGGCTTACTTATTTATTTTTAACAGCAAGAAAGTTTGCTTCTAGGCATTCATTAAACATAAATTAATAAATGTAGTTAAAGGGATCCTTAAGACGACAATGTACTTATTTACATATTTTTAAAAATTTAAGAATAAGTTTAGATGATGCATCAGAAAATTTGCTTCAAAAATTATATACTTCTTGAATTTACTTTCTTTGAAAATTATATCACCTCAAAAAGAAATATGAGTGTGATCCATGTGTGCCTTCATGTCATTGCAAAAGAAGGAATAATAAATAGGAAGAGGCACACAGTCCTACAATATGAATTTATTGTGTATTTAATTAAACTTCATTATTTCTAATACAAAAAAAAAATTACAGCTGAAATAAAATTGGGCTACCAGAAAAAGGATTATAATCAACACTCTACAAAAGTCAAAAGAATTTAAATAACTTTTAACTAATTGTTCTTCCAAAAAAATGATGGTCAAAAGGTAAACAGGTAATAATTAATTGAATGATACATAAAGTTTCTGTGGCTTTTTGGATCACAATATGAAATATTAGATAATTTCTGTAAAAAAATTATCTGGCAAACTTTTGTGCCACACAAACAAATCTATCAGTTAAAAGTCCGTATGGATAAAGTAAAAATCACTGAACTATGCACTTTAAAAGGGTGAATTTCTAAAATTTGGTAAAATATATATCCCATAAAATTTACAAATTTAACCACTTTTAAGTGTACAGTTCAGTGGTATTAAGTACATTCATATTGTGCAATCATCACCATCATCCACCTCCAGAACCTTTTCAAAAGGGTAAATTTTATGGTATGTGAATTATATATTAATAAAGCTGTTATTAAAGAATCTGTCAAAATTAAAGGTGCACAAAGGAACTTTCAAGGATGATGAAAATGTTCTACATCTAGATTTGGGTGATGGTTGTATGGTGTACCCATTTTTCAAAACTCAGCAAAATGAACATTTTATAACATGTGCAATTTATTGTATATGAGGTATACAAAACAATACAAAGCTATCAAAACTTGCAATATATTGAAAGACATTCTAATTTTTAAATGCTTCTATAATAAGTAATTATATTGAAATAGTTCTCAAATACACATCCCGTTTCTTTAATAAAGTTGGAGAACTAATGGCATAGTTTTCTTCAGGTATTAAAATTTACTTTTCAAAGTTTTATGTTAATAGAGGTTATTTCTAATATTTACAAATATAAAAATGAATTTTAAAAAATGAACAACTAAGCCCAGACTTATAAATATTATGAGTAAGTCATATGTTTAGGTATTAAGCAATTGTTTATAGTTCAACACATTAACTAAGCTGATTCCAATTGTTTCAGCAGTTGTGTAATGTGAAATTCCTAAGTTATGGTAACTGATACATATATCCACCAACCATATATTTTATAATTTAAAGTTGATATTAATATTAAAATCTTATCTAGCAAACAACCAGCCTCCTACCCTTCAGATTCTTCAGTCTTTTCTCCACCATTACGAGTAGTACAATTTTCACTTTCTGAAGCACAATTCCTTGTGGAAGCTATACTATGTCTTCCTTAAATACAGAAACAAACACATACAAAAAAAAAAGGGGGGGGTTAGCGTTTCTAGCTGAGAATGGGTTTTTACTTATTGAATGGTAATAATGTATATGCATGGTTTCCAAGGCTAGTTAAAGATGGTACTTGACAGGTAGCATTTCCCCTTGATATTTCTAAAGGTATATGGACGAAACAGTACAAAAAAAAAAAATCACAAATTGCTAATGTTACAATGAAGATCTCAAAAAATGCTGATGTGGTATGTACAAATAGAGCCAACAGCGTAGTTTTCTCTTCCTGAAGCAAATTTTTATATCAACAATCTGACTGCTGCTGGTGAGATGAAAATAACACACTACACTCTGAGGATTTCTAAAAACAGTTATTATTTCCAATGTAACTGCAGAAAATATTTCTTCTACCCTGCCCCTGTATCACTTGAAGTTCTTGTTAACTGCAATAAAGAGGAGCTGTAAAAAAAAAGATTACATGAGAGATAAGCAAGATTCTCTCAATTAAAAAAAAAACGGTAAAAAATATGGGTCAAATTCCTCTAACATAAAGTTAAAAGAATATTCACAGTAAATAATAAATAATATATGAAATAATTACACGAACAGACTGGAGTAGGAAATTTTGATATAGTAAAGATTTTGTTTTAATAATAGTGCTTGACCTATATATTATCACTTACATTTTTTTTTAAATATAGCAAAGACAATTATAATTTTTAAAATTCAGGAAGATACAAATACTCATAGATTTTTCAATTAACTTTAGATTAACCATTAAAGAAAGAAAGAAAAGTTGACTGGAATGTATAAAATTTTGCAGAATTACCATAAGAACAAGTATACTGCATTTTGTTTTAAAACCTTACCTGTTTTGGAAACTGCATCCTGACCAACTGGAGTCTCCTGAAAATCTCCGTGTGCGTGAAGAAGTGAGGATTTGATATATGTGGCTAAAGTTTCAACAGGACTTTCTCCAGCAGCCATTAGGGGAGTATACTGATTGTCAACAGGTGAGCTTCCACTGCTCTTCAGTTCATCAAACCTTTTGGCACACTGTCATGATATAAAATGAAAGAAATAGGGATTTGGGGATTTTTTTAATTAAAAAAAAAGATATTTTCTTGCCTTTTATTTGAAGATACTTTTCCATAAAAGTTTTTTGTAGGTGAACATTAATCTTCTGGGTAACATCTAGAAATTTTACACAAAAGCCTCAGGCTTATTTTTTTCTCCTTTAAAATTCAGGATAGAATTTTTTAAATATGCTGTTACCCAAAGGCATAATGTGTTTACGCTGTTGTAGAAAAATAAAGACTGCCTTTATTAACAATATTTCCTTTTGGTTTGTATCGATTATCAGTTGACAATATTAATAATTCAGTTAAAAACTTGGCTTTTGGGCCAGCCTGTGGCTCACTTGGGAGAGTGTGGTGCTGATAACACCAAGGCCACAGGTTCGGATCTCCTTACCAGTCATCTTTAAAAAAAAAAAAAAAAAAAAAAAAAAAAAACCCTTGGCTTTTATTTTTATATTAACTGAGTTTCCAACATAAATAAGACCAAATTCTAACCTTCACTGGAAAACAAACCAAAGAGTATCTGATTTGTGACACCATATTTTATTAAAACAATAAAGTCTTTGTTTTTACTGACAGTGAGGTTCACCTTGTGCAAAACATACTGTGGTGGCACTTTGTGGCCATACATTTGGGCATAGTTTGCTCTAGCAGAGTATTTCCCTTAACCCATTAGATGGTCATGAAATCAGCTTCGAAGGTCCAGATTAGCAATTTTTTTTAAAAAAAGAAATAGAGGGCCGGCTCGGTGGCGCACTGGATAGTGCGCCGCTTGGGAAGGGCAGCGGCGCTCCCGCCCGAGGGTTCGGATCCCACATACAGACCAGTTCCTGCTCACTGGCTGAGCGAGGCGTGGGAGCAACACCGAGGGTTGCAATCCCGTTGCCGGTCCCCGGTCTGGTACGGGGGCAACACTGAGGGTTGCGATCCGTTGCCGGACACGGAAAAAAGACAAAAAGACAAAAAAAAAAAAAAAAAAAAAAAAAAAAAAAAAAAAAATTAAAAAAAAA